GGCCATTATCTCCGTAACCGTTCAACTTTGGACATAGGTGTTTTGGGTTATATCGGCATACTTTAACATAAGGAACACCCTCCCGAAGTTTGGCACATTCCTCCTGGGACACCCTGTATATACAGTATGTTTCACGACTTCAGGGCATAACTGCAGGAGGTGATTTCCTAGGTCTTTGTGATCAAAAAAGTTCATATAAACATGTGTCCGATTTTGGATGGTTACGGAGTTATGACCGTTTTAAACTCAGAATAGAAGCTACCGATTACTGACAATAAACGGAACAAAATAATAAACCAACATAATACATGATACATTTAAAGTATGAATGTAAAGTTAACTTCGTGAAATTACCTTTAATTTGAATTTATTGGTGCTTAAAGCTGATTTTCGAAAATGCTACCGCCGGCCGCAACACAGGCTGCTGCTTGGTTGTGAACCGCGCAGGTACATACCAACCCACCACGCCTTAGGTACCTCTCAAGCGTTGAGATAACAAGAACGCTCTGTCTGTAGCTGGCTAAAAATAGTGACCCGTGAGATGATAGATGCGGTTCACACAAGGGCATGTACAGGAATGAAAAAACGGCCATAACTCCGTAACCGTCAAAATTCGGACACATGTTTATATGAACTTTTTTGATCACAAAGACCTAATCTGATCTGTTGCTTCTTTTGTATTATTACAATTTTGTTTGCCAGAAGCCATAAATGTGATTCAGCTAGAATCACGCTCTCATATGTGCACCTTAAGAAGAAGGAAATGGCTGACATCTACCCATCTTCTCTTACTGCAATATTTTGTTTCTAGTGTGCACAAACTAGTTTGATGGGATCATGACAAATGGAATTCTGTGATCTTCATCTTTATACAGAACAAAAGACTGATCACACTATTATTTCATAACACTAAAATACTTTCAGTTAGAAATTTTCAAAGTCAAAGTTACATAACTGTGTTATCTGTGTTTCTGCAAGTAACAGATCACATGTTTCCTGGTTTTAGGATTTCTTACTGCTCTGCTGATGCTACACATGATCGTGTTTTTGCTTTTATTGCTACAAACAGCAATGAGACAATGGAGTGCCATGCATTTCTGTGCCCTAAAAGAAAAATGGTAAGTGAAAATAAGTTGTCTTACAGATAAAGGACATTTGAAATCACCACTTATTATATTTAACTCTTCACCACATAGGGTACTTGATTACTAATAGGGTGTCTGCTGCACCATTCCTGAATATATTCTTTTCAGCCTGTAAATTTTTCCTTTCATGCCAACTCCAAATGTACTCATATTGCATGCGTTGCACTTTTTTTAATTTTAGTGTCATTTTCAAATATACTGTATGTCACACCAAGTCCAAGAAATATTCATACCGTAACTTATCATTATTTGCAAAAGGAAAGGAATGTTTGGTTGACATAAGTTATCACTGCTTGCAAAATATGGCAGTGAAATGATTTAATACAGTAGAAAGATTATATAAGGCGCTTTATTTAATAAATTGTCATATGAATTTGGTTACATAAATACAGCTTAAATATTAATCAGTAAAATAACACTGAGACACTCATATACTTAAAAAGTAATACTACTTTCTAATTCAATATAAATACTCTTGATTGCTTATATAAACAGTGTTCTATATATATTAAGCACATTTACACTGTTTCATTTTAACACAAGGTTTTAAATGCCGACACAAAGATTAAACTGCAATAGATCTTTTGAAAATGTACGATTTCTGGCAAGGCCAAGAGATTTTTCTTCTCTTTCTAATGTCCACGCTGGCCCTGGGGCCTACACAGCCTCCTATCAATAAGTACTGGTGCTCTTTCGCCAGAAGAAAGCAGCTGGGGCATGAAGCTGACCTATCGCTTCTATCTAGTGCCAAGGTTAAGAAAGGTTAGCCATACCCCCACTCCCCCTTACATCTGCATAGCATGGTGCTTATTAATTACATGCAGGGTAACTTTATTGTACCTATGGAAGAATGTGGAGTACACCCATGAACTGTTTCATGATACTGTCTCAGCACTTTACTGGATAAAATACCATAAATTATGAAAGACTCTCAGGGTACCCTACCATTTCTAGGGAATGCATAAGTTCAGTTTCTTGGGGAATACCATTTCTTTCATATTGTCATCCCTCACCCCTTTTCTTCCTTTCCTTTATCTCTTTTGTATCTTCACCTGCTTTCACCCTTTCTCCCACATTCCTTTTTTTTCCCTTTTTTTTTTGCCCATTTTATCTTCATTCCAATACCACTTCCTACACCACCATTCTTTTTGTTAAAACATTTTAGATGACTGTTGCTAAAAGGTTCCTATAATTACAGAAGATAGTATTGTTTTCAGATGATAAGTTAAGGCTGCTAAACAGACAGTGAGAGCAGCTATATTATCTGAAAGTGCAATATACAGTGTCTTCTATGAATGTAAACATACACACATAAATAAAACTGTTTTTTTACATACAATCATAAACTTATAGTTTTGTTTATAGTAAGTTACACCATGTATTACAATTCTGTTAACATTTAATAGCATGATTATTGATTTCTATATGAAGAGAAACTTTAATAAAGAAACATAATTTAAAAAGGTAAAGGTATCCCTTTAACAGGCCATGGAGACCAACAGGCTTGGGAGATGTCGAGGCTCCCACATTTTCGAGACAGTCAGCTCGCAGATGGCAGTGTGTTTGTCAGCCTTACACACCAGCCACCATTTACCTTGAGGAAGATTCCTGGTATTCCATTTCTGTTAGAGGCTGAGTTGACCCTAGGCCCATAATGGAGCTGGAAGGTTTAGGTCAATAAATCCAATGACCTCATCAGGAATTGAACCCACAACCTTCCAGCTTGTAGCATAGTGCCTCAACCGACTATGCTACCAGGTGGCCCCAAGAAATACAATTACATTTTCTGAAATTACCTGTCAATATGTACATCTTTGTTGAAGAAGTTACATAAGGCAAAATAGATGCACTTTTACTTTTTATGAACTGTCCTTGCATATGGAATACATATTTCTCTCTGTCATGCTGACCATTATTAAATGGATTGTTGACACTGACTGGCTATTGTTGACAATGTTTAAAATTCTTTGGAAATGTAAATTGCCAAGACTACCAATCTCCTGTGCCAGTGTCAACGAAAATAATAATTTGGGAACAACGGTCAATCACTTTCAACCAAGCCCAAGGCCAGACAGTCAGTGATAAGCTGGTGAAATTTAATTTGTTGAATTGTAATTTTCAAGTTGCTGGGCTGAGAAATAAATGGAAATACAGTTTTCGAAGGGAATCATAATTTATTTTGCACAAGGAATCAATTGGTAGCAGACTTTCTGAGAAATCCAAAAGCTATATTAATTTGAATATAAGGAACCAGTGAATGAAATGATAAGAACCAATTATTAGTCATGTAATGGGTCTGTGTCATAATTCACAATTCTCCTCCCCCCTTTCTTGTTTTTCTTCCTTTCACGTACTTGCTAGGTATTCAAGGATTATATACAGGGAAACATCAAATGAAGATTATCAGGCATTGTCAACATTGACCAGTCTGTACCCAAAATATTCATTATAACATACAAAACAGACACTGCCAAAATGGAAGAGTTCTCCATGATTTATTTAATCCGTCTTGCAGTGCATACATTCATTTATCTCCTTCTTTCCCATGCCGAAACATGTAGTGCGAGGGAAAGAAGGAGATAAATGAATGTATGCACTGCAAGACGGATTAAATAAATCATGGAGTTAAATCAGTGCAACAGGACGCTAAAATATAACATTGGAAGAGTTCTGTTGATGACAGGCCAATGTTGAAAGTGCCAAATGGGAGTGACCAAGTGATCTGTGAAACTGCCTGATTTTTGGATTATAGTAATATCTATACCCAAAGTATGGTTACACAAAGATAGCTATGAGGAAAAATAACATTGTACTTTCTTTCAATACAAATTATTTTTATCTCAGAAATATATTCTACAAAATAAGTTTTAAGAAGTGATCTCATAAATGAAATTAGTATCATTTACAGCAATATCAAAGCAGTCAAATAAGAAACGAAGGCCTGCCTAAAAATGTGTAACAGGAAATGTCTCAAGTCCACCAGGGTAGTACTGGAGCAATGATGATGGCTGGTACAAGTTCACACAGTTAGAAAAGTTTTGGTGTAAATTTGACATCAGACACTGAAGAGATTCACCATCACTGGTCTGTTAGGACAATTGTAAACTGAGATACATTTACTCCAGACAGTGAAGAATAATTGCACTGTGTATTATGAGGTGATGTTCTAGAAAGTGTTAGAATATGGTAATAATATTTTTTCAATTATAGGCACAAGCAGTCACATTAACAGTGGCACAATCCTTCAATACAGCCTATGAACTATGGCAGATATCACAAGAGAATTCCTGTCTGAGGAATCAAGAACTTAGGCCATGTCATGAATCCAAGAAAATATCAGGTGATTGTATTCAACTCTTCAGTTTAGATGCATACAACTTTAATGATGTTCTATCTGTCTCTCCACATCTTAACGTCAGTTATTTCAGTGCTAAAGTGAAGAAGGCATTTCTTTCATTCATTCATTTATTTCCTTTATATTCCATATATCCATACAGATAAAAAAACCTAGGATGTGGAAACAGTCCCTTTGATAATAGATGTGTCCAGATACATATAATAAATTACATGAGTTACATAATTAAAATCACATACATTAGTCAATTAACATAGATAATAAAATAAAAAATAAAAAACTTAATATAATTTTAATTAATAAACATAATTTTAAAAAACATTACTATAAAAACTTAAAATTAATACAATTTCATTTAAATCACCTAAATTAATTGAATTAAATGCATTATAAATTTACACACTTATGACCAATTATCTTTCCTTCTCTCTTTCTTTATTTCACTATTTCATTTTCACATAAATCAAAATACATTGATACAGGACTCATCATATCATAATACTATCAGAAAAAAGCATATACAGGCAATTTTATGAATATTCATATTCATATTTATTTCAAGTTCAGTTGATCCATACATGAGTTGAAAGTACAAACTGTTGGATATAGAACGTGTCACAAAGTAAATACTAGTCTAAGTTCCCAATCATTGGAACAGAGTCAAAATACCCNCAGGTTAATAATACATATAAATCATGCTTTCAAAACGAAAAGCTGCATGAAAAGCAAGACAAAAGATTATATCAACCATGCAAAAAACTGTATCAGATCAGCGATCAGATTATAAATTATTTGTAAGAAGCAGGGTTTTCCATTTTTCTCCAATCTAGATACTCCCGTGATGAGTAAAATGAGCCAATATGGAGAATTTTTTAAGGCATGTTTAAACTTATCGACATCATTTGTCATGTTCTTAAGATTCTGTGGTAAATTATTAAGTACCATAATCCCGGAACAGACACCTTTTTTTGATTTTAGTTAATTTATAAGTTGAATGATGAAAATCCGAACTTTGTCTGGTATGGATACTATGTATATCAGAATTTAGTGTGAAAGTATCCATATTTTTAACAACAAACATGGATATTGAAAATATATATTGTGAGTAAAATGGAAGAATATTAAATATCTAAACAATGGACGACAAGAGTCTGTTTTCTAGCTTTTATAATGATTCTAACTGTTCTATTTTGAATTTTAAAAATTAAATTACTGTTGGCAGAATATTTATTATTTATTAAAGTTCTTTGATATCTATCAGTCAAGTAAGATTTAATCAGCTTCCCTGCTATACTATTGATGCCATAAAACTCCAATTTAGCAAGAAATATGTTGTGATTGACACCGTCAAACGCCTTGGTTAAATTACAAAATAATCCTCCGACAGCTAATCTGTTATTAAGTGCCAATAGGAATTATTTATTAAGGTAAAGGTAGCCATATAAGTAGTTGATTTGGTTTGAAAACCATATTGTTCCTGCACCAATATCTCATTTACATCGATATGATATTGCAGTCTGTTAAAAGTGACTTTCTCGAAAATCTTGGAAAAGGATGTCATCAAAGATTCATTCATTCATTAGTAATCTGTCAAGACGACAGGTCCACAGTCTCTTCCAAAACAGTTCCTCCACTTGATGCGATCTAGAGCTTTCTCCTTCAAATGAAAATATCCTCTTCTGTCACCAAGGTCATCCAGCATCTTCTTAAGTCTTCTTCCTGGTCTTCTGGTCACTTCTATCCGCCCCTCTATCTTTCCTTCAATAACTTCTTTTAGAAGGCAGTTACTGCATAAGATATGACCAATCCAATTAGCCTTCCGTTTTCTTATTTCATGTAGGATATTCCTCTGCTCACTGACTCTGTAAAAGGAATAATCACTCTGAAAAGGACTGTTACTTAGAAATAAGGACAGTGATACGAGAAAACAATGCACAGTATGTACAGAAACGAACCATGCCGAAAAGGACTGTTATTTTAAAGATAGGAATAAAAGAAGCAAGGTCAATTTTTTAGCTGAAGCAGCAGAAATCCACGCAAGTGATGCAAGTAAAAAAAAGACAAAATGTATGTAGTGGATAGTGGTAGCACATGTCATATGACAAATGTGAAGACTGATTTGATACATATTAAGCAGTATACTCAACGTATAAAGGTAGCAAAGAAAACTCAAAGTATGACTTCAAAGAAAATAGGCAATTTGGAATTTAAAGAGTGTAGTTTGAAAAACGTTTCATATGTTCCAGAACTCAGCAAAAACCTGCTGTCAGTGCACTGTATTACAGAAAATGATGGAGAAGTGGTGTTTACAAAAGAGATAGTCCAGATACTCAAGGACAAAAATGCTGTAATCGAAAGAAAAAAGGATGAAAATGGATTGCTTGTAATTAACTTTAGCACGATGAATGAAGCTATGATGACTCTGCAAGATACAGGTGTAGAGTGGCATAGAAAGCTAGGTCACATAAGTTATGCGAATCTTAGGAAACTACAAGAGATATGCCAAGGGATACCAGAAAGTGTGAGCAAGTGTAAAAATTTTGATATATGTTCAGTTTGTATGCAGGCCAAACAAGTGAGACTCCCATTTGATACAGAAAGAAGTAGGGCTGGAAAGCCATTAGAGATAATTCATAGTGACGTGTGTGGACCAATTGATCCCACCACTTATGACAATAAGAAATATTTCCTTATGTGTGTGGGTGATTATACACATTTTTGTAAGATATACCTGTTAGAAAATAAGAGTGAAAATATACCTTTTTGAAGGAATATGTAAATTAAACTGAGTGTCAATTCAATACAAGAGTGAGAAGAATAAGATGTGACAATGGGGGGGGGGGAATATAAGAACAGCGCCTTGAGAGAATGGTGTAAGAACAAGGGGAATGTAATGAATTTACTACACCATATTCACCACAGCTAAACGGCACTGCCAAAAGAATGAACTGTACCATTATGGAAAAGGCAAGAGCATTGATTTTTGACTCGGGTTTAAGTAAGAGAATGTGGGGTGAAGCTGTATTCACTTCTGCATACCTGCTAAACAGAAGTCCAACAGTGACAGTGAATGGAATGCCAGCAGAAAATTGGTATGGCAAAAGACCAGATCTAGCTGGATTGAAGATTTTTGGTTCAGAAGTGTACACTAAAATTCTCGGACCATTGAAAAAGTTGGACAGTTGTAGCAAGAAAGGAATATTCGTTGTATACAATACAAATGGCTACAGAATATGGGATCCACATACTGAAAGGACTTATGTCTCCAGAGATGTGACATTCACAAGTAAACCTGTGACAACAAATAAACAAAAGGAAATGGAAAGAGGGATGGATCCAGAAGACAAGCCAAATACTCCAGATCAGGAAGATAGCGAAATGTAGGAAGAACCCGAAGCTAACAACAATGAAGAAAAACCAACAGATACTGAAGAAAATGAAAATGCTGACCACAAGGATAATGGAAGGAAACACAATGGACAAAACGAACATGGATATGCATTGAGACCAAGAAGAAACGTTCAAATGTATCCAAAGTACCGAGACTATCACATAGAGAGTCGAAAGGAGGGTATGCTCACCTATACATGTGACGAGCGCATGGAGAGCAAAGACAGCGAGAAGTGGAAGAAAACCATTAAAGAGGAAAAGGATTCGCTCTACTAAAACAAAACTTGGATATATGTAAACAGAGAGAAAGCAATGGGCAAGAAAATTCTGAGCACTAAATGGGTTTTCAAAATAAAGGATGATGGAAAACACAAAGCCAGACTGGTTGTGAGAGGATGCCAACAAAAGGAAGGGGAAATAGATTTCAAGGATACCTTTAGCCCACTTGTTGACATGAATTCTCTTAGAGTACTGTTTGCCATAGCAGCACGTAAGAATATGAACATGCAAACCTTTGATGTGAAGACTGCCTTCCTGTATGGAGACCTTGAGGAGGAAAACTACATGGAGATACAAGAAGGATATGAGAACACTGGCAAGATATGTCTCCTGAAAAAGACATTATATGGCCTAAGACAAGCACCATCGAAATTGAACAAGAAGTTGACAACCTTTCTAAAAGAAAAAGGTCTAAACCAACTAAAATCTGACCAATGCATTTTTAAGAATGATGCCAATAGTTTGTTCATGGCCATTCATGTGGATGACGGGATAATCATGGGAGAGGATGAAAGACAAATAGAGGAATTTTGCTGAAACTGGAAAATCAATTCCACATAACAAAGACCACAAATCCAAAAGTTTATTTAGGAATACAAATTGAGAGGCAACCAGATGGGATACATATCTCTCAAACCAACTGTGCAAGCCAAATGTTGGAAAAATAGAACATGCAAGAAAGTCAAGAAATGAAAACACCCATGGCCACGACCCCACCAACAAATGAGGAAGGAGAAAATGACATAAGATTTCCTTACAGAGAAGCTGTGGCATTCACTGTAAATGAGGAAAGTCGAACCTTGGAAAATCCTGACAAAATAGCTGTTCAGAATGTGAAAAGGACCGTTAGGTATGTGAAAGGTACACGAGATTCAGGAATAAAATATACCTCACCTGACTCCGAAACTGTGAAACTGAAAGCATTTAGTGATGCTGATTATGCAGGGGATGTAAAGGATAGGAAGAGTGTAACAGGATATGTAATTATGATGTCAGGGGGCCCAATATCATGGTGCTCTAGGAAACAGAGTATTTTTGCATTATCAATCACTGAGGCCAAATATATTGCAGCAGCTGAGTGCTGTAAAGAATTGAAATATCTAAAGACGTTGATAGAGGAATTGACAGGAAAAATGGTGGAAGCTGAACTGTGTGTCAACAATCAGAGTGCAATCAAGCTAACAGAATCTGGACAAGTAACGCATAGGAGTAAGCACATAGACGTTAGGTATCACTACATAAGTGAACAATTGAAAGAGAAACTGTTCTCAATCAAATATTGTAACAGTGAAACTCAGGTGGCAGACATTTTAACAAAACCGCTATCACCAGAGAAATTTACCAAGTTTAGAGACATTATACTTAAGAAGAAGTAAGTCTGATTTTGATAAGACTGAGAAAATTTTAATTACATGTACTAATTTTGTAATCTGAAGACCAAAATTACTAAGTGTTATTCAATTTCACTTTGTAAAACAGCTAATAATGTTATAACATTTTGAAATTATGGAGGAAAATGAGAAATGTGTTTGAAATTAAGGAGGAATGTTGAGAATCTAGTAATGTAAAAATGTTCAAGTTGGTAATAGTGATCTATATTCATTTGTTTTTGTTTTGTATTAAATAAAAAACTTCTTCTCATCCACTATGACTGTTAAGTGATATGTAAGCACGATACAAAGAAAATCAACATAAAGAAATTATCGATTTCAGTTGCTGAAGTACAGGTAATGCTAGTAGGGAAATTGACTATACTCTCTAAATGATATGAAACTAATAAGGAATCCAGCTTTAGTCTGTTAGAACCCATATCATCCAAATAATTGATATTTATGCCACCACATAGTATAATATTCGAGAAGTCTGTATGAATTTTGTTAAGAATAACCTCAAGAGTGTTTAAAAAGTGAACAATATTACCCAAAGGAGACCTATATATCGTTAGAATACAAATATTATTAGTACTATGATGTAATTTTATAGCACAGACTTCAATGTCTCGGTCCAAACAGAATTCTTCCTGGGTGTATATTGTAAGTTTTGCTGGACAAATATACTTACACCACCATTTTTCCTAGATTTACGACAGAAATAAGCACCCAAGTTATATTGATTAATTGAAGTCCATACAATTTCAGTCTTACATAAATGATGTTCCATAAAACAAAATATTTGGGGTATTTTAGATTCACATTGACTAAGTAATTCATCAAGTTTAATGTGTATTCCCATAATATTTTGATGATAAATTTGTAAATTAGAAAAATTTTTAGAGTAGTTACTTTTGGAGCACATTCTTTCCTAACAATACAACTAGGTTTCATATTCATATTAGATTTAATGCACTTGGCATTTGTGATAGGACTAAAAAGTTCCTTATTATCTATAAAGGTTAGATAAAAAGTAATGGCAACACTGCTGTAACATGAAAGATGTGCGTCAGGTGGCACTAGCACCGTCTGTAGCTGATAGCAGATGTTCACTTGAAGTAGTGCATGAGTGGTTGTGGTTGTGTTTCATTGAGTTGCATCATGCATCATCTTGAAGTGCAGGAGCCCAGTTCAAGTGCCCTAAGAACATGTTTATGAAACAAGAACAACGCTCCTGGATAAAAATTGAAGTTGCACGAGGTCGTAGTGCACAAAACTGTTATCAGGGATTGCGAAAAGCATGTGGTGATGCTGCTTTGCCATATCGCACAGTCACATGATGGGTGAAATTTTTCTGTGAAGGGAGGGATGCCATTCGGGACAGCCATCGTTCAGGACGATCCCATGTTGACAACCACACAATTCAGCTTCTTTCTTCTTTGCTGGATGTCGATTGTCGATGGGCTGCGTGGGAGTTAGCTGCTGAGGTAGGCATATGTCACAAAATCGTGCTCCACATTCTGCACGATATTCTTGGATACCGCAGAATTGCAGCGTGTTGGGTACCCCATACAATGTCCGAGGTGCAACAATGGCAACGTTATGCAATTGCACAGGAAATGTTGGACTGGTACCAGAAGGAACGTGATGACTTCCTTGGAAGGATCGTCACTCTGGACGAAACTTGGGCTCGCTCATAGGAACCGCACTTGAAGCGACAATCAAATGAATGGAAGTATCCTGGCTCTACACAGAGTAATGTGAAGGCAATGTTCATTGTGGCATATGACACTGATGGAGTGATGCTGCACCACACTGTACCTCAACGACAGACAGTAAACGCTGCCTACTACTGAAGTTTCCTGCCTAATCATCTTCGTCCAGCACTCAGGAGAAAACGACGACACCTGTTGGCAGCGAACCCCATCATCCTTCATGACAATGCAAGAGCTCATACTGCTGATGCTGTCAAGGATCTCCTTCGCCACTGGCAATGGGAGATACTGCAACATCCACAATACTCACCTGATATGAGTCCGTGCAATTATGATCTCTATCAAAATGAAAGAACCACTGCGAGGGACACATTACAACACAAGAGAGGAGAATATTCGTGCTGTAGGGCGGTCACTGCTGGATATCAACAGAAGTGGATGCACTGATGATGTATGACGCCTTCCACAAATATCGCAGAAGGTGGTACACATGGGGAGCGATTATATTGAAGGAATATACATGTGTTTACCTCAGGTAATAAAGTCATTTCAGAACTATAGAGGTATTGCCACCACTTTTTATCCAACCTATGTATAATATTTGCCTTTACCATAAAAAATCATTTGACCTAATAACGGGGTTCTTCCTTTCTCTACCTGATACTCTACTGTTAGGTACTTCATGTTGAGATGTCCCTACTTGCATATTTGCTATTTCTGGGTTTACACCCAGATAACATATTGTGAATTATATGACAGTTATGTTGGACAGTTTTCACTGTCTTAGATATATTTGATATGTATAATGTCCTGGAGCTGGCTCTGTTTCCATCTTCAAATGACTAATTCTGATTATACTCTACTTCCTTTAGAGGTTCATGGCTGCATCACAGTCAAGATGGGTAGTCAGTCTGCTGTGTAAACCACTCAATTATATAGTATCCTTACTAGATTTATGGAGTTAGTAGTATCTAGACAAAATCCATAGGACTTCACAATTAAAAACTTGTAATGTTCAAACATTTTATTGCAAGTATCAAACATATATTTAAGAAATTCATTAAAGTGTTGTAAATATTTTAATTCAAATTTTTGAAGCATGGAGGAAACATAAAACTGAATCAGAAGTTTTGATTATTTATAAATCCAATCTTATTTTGTTCATCCATATAATATTATTATAATGAATCATCCCACATGAAGTTTGTATCACTGATTTCTAATATTTGCCCTACAGATTAAATGCCAATTGTGTTATTGTATTTTCTGTACAGTTATTAGGACCTGTTGGGGTATTTCAGTGAGTGAAAGGCTTAAAATGTGTTTACCAACTTTAAGGCCCAGGCACTGAGTTCATTTTACCTTCCAACAATGAAAAGTTTTGCAGAGCCTCTCAGCACATTTGTCCTTCCCACAGCTGTGTTCCACTGCAGGATCTGGTACATCATAGATTCAAAATCCATTGTTCTATCATGTTGCTTGAGTTCCTTCCTTCCTTCAAGCACAAGTATTCATTTTCACTTGTCTCATGTTATTCAGACAACTGCAGACACTTTCTTTTCCAATCTGCTGCAGCTGTTACATGTTTAAATTGACTTCTACTATCATCTCTGTACTGCCCATTTAAAATAATTTTAATTATAAAACTGCTAAAATTTCATTCAACATAAACTTATAAAATACTGAAGTAAAAGACTTTACTCTGTAATATTTCAATATTTTATGTGCCTTTATAATAATAATTATACAGTATCATGATTTTATTAGATACTGCATAGTAAAGCCATTACCAACTTGTAAAATAGATCTAGTCCTCATGCTACTTAGTGTGGGTAAATTTTCAGAGTATTATAATTATAGAAAATAGTTGTTACATTTTATTTTCAGAATTAAGCACATAAATCAACAGCACACCGTTTGTTGACAGAATTTAGTAAATCTGTCTCAGTCAGTATAAATGATTAGCAACAAAGTTACAGGGGTTTAAATGCATGCAATGATAACAAGCATGCTGCTGAATATAACAATATCACACCTACAAATGACCTGTCTTTGGAATACAGAATATGAAAAAGGAAACAAGAAAGTGACATTGAAATGGAACAATAAATTTCCCATCTTAACATAATAATGTCATGAATTTATTAGCTACATAGGCGTAGTTACAGATGATCCTGTTCTTGTATGGCTTTTTTGTCTTCACAGGTTTCCACAACAAAATGAAGGACAGCAGCAGTAATATACAAAATATGAGTGAAAGCAAGACTCTTTTAATTGATCTCTCATCAGAACCAGAGACTTTGACTGAAAATGGAAACTCCTGGGTAAGTGAATAAAAAATATTTATGTTAAAAACCTATGTTATAAGAAATGAAGCACCATAGAATGTGAATCATAACAAAATCAGCAGCATTCAGGAGCTTTATTAATATACACAGTTTTCTGACCATACTTTCATATTTCTAAGTTATACGTAGGCGAGTCAAATGAAAACTTTAAATATTTTTTTGAGTGTTATTTATTGTGCACAAGTGGTACAAAGCTGTATCACTTTTCAACATAATCTCCCCCACACTCAATGCAAGTCCTCCAGCGCTTACAAAGTGCATGAATTCCTTTAGAAAAAAATTCTTTTGGTAGTCCTCGCAACCACTCATGCACCGCGTGGTGTACCTCTTCATCAGAATGGAACGTCTTTCCTCCCATTTCTTCTTTGAGTGGTCCAAACATATGGAAATCACTTGGATAAAAATATAATATTAAGATTAGTATTTGTTATTAAAAAGTCCTTTGGTGAATAAAAAGAATTCAGTAGAAGGTAATTTTTAAAGTATTTTTAAATTGATTCTCATTGTCTATTTTATGTATGAAGGTAAGTGATTAAATGCCTTTATACCCATACAATAAACACCATTTATATAAATTGACAACCTTGGTTGTGAACGGTAAAAATTATTTTATCTTCTGGAATTGATATCATATAACTCCGAATTTATTTAAAATAAGGAAATATTATCAGTTACAAAGATTAATAATGAGAATGTATACTGAGAGTAAAACGGTAATATGTCTAATTTCTTAAATAAATCCCTACAGGAGTCCATATTTCTAGAATTTGTAATAATTCTTATGACTCTCTTTTGCAGTTTAAATATATTGTTACTATGAGAGGAATTCCCCCAGAGATTATACCATATGACATAACTGCATGGAAATAAGAGTAGTAAATCATACTCAATGATTTATGAGAGACAAAGGGTCTTAAGGATCTGATAGTGTAGCATGCTTTGCTTAATTTGACTATGAGTCCATCAATATGATTCTCCTGTGAGAAGGAGTATTTATATTGTAACGTGTTTCATTACTGAAGACGCCGTTCAGATTGTTAACTGGTTTCTTTAACAACCTACAAGTCATAACTACAATTGATTATAACACTGTTGCGGGGTTTCACACTTTATAACACTATTTGCAATAATCTCTTCACACTGTTGCGGGGTTTCACACGTATTCACAGTATGGGAGCTATACAAGTCTCTCTGTATTACACACTCCCAATTACACAACTACACACACGTCCAGTTCTTCTTCCCACGACTGCTGCTATACTCCTACTCAACTCTTAACGGCTCACTGCTGGCTAGATTCCAACTCATCCCTGGTAGGCTGCTGGCTTGAGAACTCACTTCGGCGACTGACACACTTAACTGCCTTCGGCGGCCGCTACACATTAACTTCTCACTGCTGACTGACTGACTCGTAGGCAGTGTAGTTCTCTTATATAGTCACAGCCTCACTTCCTTGTTGCCTAGTCGCCGATTACCAATAGCCTAGCAATGCTGCCGGGAGTTGTTTATGGCTACGTAGCAATTGCGGCGTCCCATGTTACGTCACCGCTGTTTACTTGCTTTGCCTAGCAACCGGTGTTTACTCAGTTTGCATAGCGACCAGCGTGCTGGGACTCGGCTCACTTCGGCTCCGCTCAGCACGTCACGGCTGGCGGGGAGGGAGGAGCGTCATCCATAGCGCAACATGTCACAATATTATTAAGAATATATTTGTTATTATAATTGATATCTAATTGAAGTGTTGGACTATTAGTAGTTCTAAACTGTATATACCGAGTTTATTAAAATTTAATGATAAATTGGTGTTAAGCCATACATTCAATTTATCAACTGGAGAAATAAGATAATTTTTAAAGTCTAGTAAATTAGGGTTACTAACAATAATGCTGGTATCATCAGCAAATAAGAATGCCTTCCTTTACTTGAAGAATTCTTTATAATTATGTTCTTTCTATGGTTCTGTTGAAGTGTGTAATTTTTACTCATTATTGTTGAACCACTGATTAAAGTTGGTATTTTGAAACGCTTCTTACCATCTGTATCTTGATTCATAGTGGATAATCCTTGGATACACTGTTGTTCTTGCTGATCACTCGGGTTACAAACTGTTTTGTTAATAACCTTATTTTGCTCTTTAAGTCCCTCTTGATTAATGAACTGATTTTTATCACATAATCTGTTTTTGACAACATTATTGTCTACAGCTGTGTGAATTGCACAACCTTCCTCAGTATTATCATCTTCAAAGATTGAATATCGATTTGATACTGTCAGCTGCACATTTGCCTTGGCTGGTGCCTTTTTTAATAATTTATCTTTAGTAGCTGCACCACAGAATCTAGAACTCACTTCCACCCAATCTGCATTTATAACTTGATTAGTAGCTACATGAGATATATTGTTTCCATTAACATCATCTTGATTTGAGGTTATCCTGGAAGACGATTCTTGTTGTAAAAGTTCTATAATTAACCGAGCAGATTTTAGTTCTTCCAGTTTCTTTAAGCTGGTTCTTTAATTCTATACACTGCATATAGATATAATCACTGATTGCTAGTTCATTTTTTCTACTTATACTTTGCGTAGCCATGGCGTGAGTGGCCATGAAGGTCCATAGGGTTGTGAGACGTCATTGCTCCGACATTTTCTCTAGACAGTCAGCTCACAGATAGTGGTAAGGTTGTCAGCCTTATATGCCAGCCGCCCTCTACCCCCAGGAAGATTCCTGGTACTCCTTTCTGTTAGAGGCTGAGTTGACCCCATGGCCATAGTGCGGCTGGAAGGATTAGGTAAATTGAAAAAAATTAATCTCATCAGGACTCGAACTCACAACCTCCCGGCTTGTAACATAGTGCCTCAACCAACTACGCTACTGTGTCCCCCATATAAATACAGTATATACATATTTAATCTAATGCAAGAATGAAGGGGTGTCACTGTTAGTGTTGTAATCCATTATAATTACCATTTTAAAGTTTCCAGCTTCTAACTTCAACACACTTCTGGCATTCATACCCTGTCAGGAAATTCAAGAACTCTTCTTCCATAAGGTTGCTTATGCAGAATGTGGCATACTTGTTTGGAGAGCAGATGGACTGTACCATTAGTAGTCCCTTTGGTGACAGTGTATAGAGGCATGAAGCTTGTGGACTTCAGTATCAGCACTGGAAAATAATAATCTAAAAATAACATTAGGCAAAAGCTGTACTGTTGTAACATAACTGGAAAATCAGAAAGCAAATATTTTATTTAATATCCATCCCATAAGCTTCTCATGATATGTGTACTGTGATGAAGCTCAGAGACTGCACAATTCAATAAAAAGTGTTTAATATTATAATTCTGTATTGACATGTAGTATTAACATAAAATTAGATAGTTAACAGAGTGAGATCTTGCAGCAGACGGTTGAGGTATGAAGGAAAATAACTTTTCACACACTAAACCTCCTCAGTTAAAGTAAACCAGAAGCTCTCACTCTGTTCACCAAGGAAATTTCATTCATAGCTAAAATAATGGTGTTTATATCTTAAAAGCTGAATAAACACTCCATGGCCTATAACAAGAGACAGATACTGTCCCAGATTCAAGCAGCCCAATGCCACGGAAACGTTTTGGATCAGAAGGCTGCAGTAGCAAGTACAGAAACCACTGACAGTCACACACAAGTCTTTCCCAGTAAATGGCATACACAAAGTACTGTCACGTGTTGGGTGTATAACATTATCCCTTCCTTTTCCTATGCATAAGCTACTTACTATAAAAGTCACTAAGAATATTTTATGATTTATTATTTGCAGGTTTGCTTTGATGATGACAGAACTGAGAACTTAAACTCCAGCTTCACAAGGTTTGTTACGTTGAATATATTCTTGGCTGTGTTTAGTAAGCTCATAATAAAGCTCTGACATATAGAGGATGTGTAGACCATTAGTCTTTCATCTTCTTAATGGTCACTTATGCAACACTTTTGTTCTCAGTACTCCCAAAAGAATCCTTTGTCACCCATGAATAACATAAATCTGTAAAATTATCATTATACACTTAAATTACCCAGTATCTCTTGGAGAGTTTAGACTTTCAAATCTTGTTTAGTGTCATGATGTCTTAGCATAGCGTTCAATATTACAGCAAATCCTCAATTGAACTGACTTGAATTTAATGGACAAAATTCTTTGGTACTTCCCCATTACCCTCCAAGTTCATATGTTGATACCCATAATAGTCTGGGTGATATGTCATATGTACTTCAATTATGCTGCAAACGTAACACGCATCTAGTACATAGATCATTCTATCACAAATTAAATTTTGCTATGCTGTTGTGGGAACATCCCACATACTAACACGTGGTTTTGCCGGTCTAACTGACAGCACTCACTCCTAGTCAATATCACATTGCTGCACGTTGCTGCCACCGCTTGTATTTATACAGCACTCGGATGTCCAGCCCACCTGTAGATGATCACATGCGCTAGCCAATCAGCACTCACAATCGCAACTGCAAGTTTAAGCTCCGCCCAGCAAGCATGGTATAAAAGCGGAGCCCAAAGCTCGCAATCATCAGTGATCACATTCACTTCAGAGCGATCAGTCATCAGAGTCATGAGGTGTTTACTGCTCCAAACACAGCTACTGCAACTCTCCAGCAACTGCGCTTTGCTACCAGACAGCTAACGTAGCTGCCGCAGCTCTCCAGCAACCACACTCTGCTACTAGACAGCTAACATAGCTGCCACAACTCTCCAGCAACCACGCTCTGTGACCAGGCAGCTAATGTAGTTGCCATAACTCTCCAACAGCCACGTTCTGTGACCAGGCAGATAATGTAGTTGCTGCAACTCGGCAGCAACCTCGATCTGTGACCAGGCAGCTAACGAATTTTCCGCAACACTCCCGCAACTGTGCCTTGGGCAGCTGTTCCTATAGGAGCACGAGGCACCACATTACCATCCGGACAAACCAGCTGAACGGCCGTAATGACTTGGTCTGCTACAAAGGAGCAAATTCTACCAGCGCACTCATGGTGGAACAAACTGCCCTTTCAGGGCCAGCCAACTTTTGACATTCCACATAGCTTCGCAGATATTCTGTACATTCAATTTATACAATTTAATATATACAATTGTTACAGATTTACGTGGTTGTCTTTTAGAACATCAACAATCCCACACTATGCTTGGTTTGTTCTGTGTTACAGATATTTTTTAAATTTAATCCACCATGATCAAAAAAACATACTTGAGTGTAAAACAAAAGTTGGAAGTGACTGAAGAATTATAATCAGGAGTATCAGTCACACATGTTTGTAAGGAATATAAGAATTTGGCAATATCGGGCACCCCTTCCCCCAAATTAGACCATTGAATGGAGAATATACTGTACTGTAAAACATCATGTATAATCCATACAACAGGTCCCAGATTCACTCACTCTGTTTCTAGATACAGAACTGCTGGAAGGAGGGGGGGGGGAGGTGAAGGGAGATGACTAATGTCACATCTTTGAGCTTTGCCCTAAAAGTTGATATTACCATTGTCTGTATCAAAACACACAGGAATGGTTCTATACATGGTGGAGTAGTTCATAACAATTTGTGTAATTTCATAATTTCTGTGTTAGCAGTAGACTTAGAATTTCCATATGCTGTTTTGATGTCATGACTTAATATTGTATTCTTAAATTGCCTTTTTGTATTACTCTGAAATTAAGCTGACCTGGTAGCTTGGAGGTATTAGTGTTAGTAAAATAATAAAATCTGAACTATTTCTACTGTCCATATATATTACATAACACTAAAGTAGTAAAACGATAACCCAGTAAAATTAAAATTCATTATAAACACCAAAATGTGTCACATATCTCACACTAACAAGTATGTAATAATGTTACAAAAATGTAACGCAACAGTGATTGAAGTGTTCTTTCTGTCTTCTGGGATATAATGGCCTGAAGTCCATGGAAAGTCAGCTGACATTTTTGAGGAACATATTGCTTCAATTTTGAGAGTCAAAGAATATGCCAAACAAGAAACTAGTGTCAAACAAGCAGCAAGCAGAGCACCTCCAAAATGTACGTTGACTTTCACTGGACTGCACAGTGTAAATATCCCAGAAGATAGAACTCTTTACAGCCACCACTGTGAGAACCTCTACATCAGTAAGTAGGTCACAAATGGATATAAAACATAAAATGTGCTATTCTAACCTGTAAAAAACATTTATTTCTTTACATATTCTCCACCAACATTGATACACTTGTCCCATTGCTTTACTGGTGTGTTGAATCCTGTAGCATATGAGTAAAAGCCTTTTGACTGTTGTCTCAGCCACTTCCATGTCTCTGTTTCTGCCTCTCCATCATCAGTGAAAAGTTTTCCACCCAGTTGTGTACCTCTTTATGCAACAAACACTTCCCACTGTAAACAGTAAACTTTTTTTTATTAATATACTTTGCATTGAGTCCTTCTGCCCACAAAAGATGCACAACAGAACGCTGCTTTCGGTAGTACACCACTCAAGTATGGTCGCCATTTTGACTACTGAAATCAGCCTCTAAACATGTGCGTGTATGCTATCTAAACCGTCCGGAAGCTGGACTGTGCTGCTACTTAGTGATACGTATATAAAAACTATTACATCCCTTACAGCTGTTTTACTTCTGTGACCTGTCAGTAAATATTTACTGACTCCCACATGTATTTTTTTATTGCTAGTGGGGTGGGACTAAGTCCCTTGTACTGCGGCCACTTCTGGCCTATTGTACCAGTCCCAGATGATAGGTGAGGGTGATTTTGGAGCAATTGGTGGAATGAAGATTGGCAGGGGAAACCGAAGTACTTTGAGTAAACCTGCTCCAGTGCCACTTTGTCCACCACAAATCCTACTTGACCAGACCCGGGATCGAATTCGGGCCGCCGTGTTGGGAAGCCAGTGACTAACCGCTTGAGCTATGGCACGGCCTCTCCCATATGTATATAGAGCAGTAATTGTGTTCTGTCCTTCAAGTATTAACGTTGATAATGTTAAAGGTGTGGTGGATAATTATAAAGGAATTAACATGCATGTATATCACAGACCATCAGTAATGCAACAATTGTTCCTTTCTTTTTATTCCTCCAATTTCACCATTTAACAATTAACACAACATGCTTTGGCCATAGATGGTCATCTTCAGGTGTTTCAATGTATCAAAACTGCTTTTGATGGATTTTAATTAATTATTTTTATTTTAAGTGGAGTGCAGCACATAATTTTAGTGCACATCAGAGCAGTGTAGCAGTTTCAAGACATTGAGATACCAGAAGATGGTCATCTGTGGCCGAAGTACATTGTGTTAAGTGTTAAATGGTGAAATTGGAGGAATGAAAAAAAAAGGAACAATTGTTGCATTTTTGACGGAGTGTGATATATATGGACGTTAATTAAAGATTTGCAACAGGATGCTGAAATACAGAATTAAAACCGAAGGAAGTTTTGTTTATATCTGAGAAGGTCTGAAATGGTGATAGTGATTATTTCTCCAAATGGAAAAGAGTTAAGCAAGGAGTTCCTGAGAGGTCGGTCTTAGGACCACGTCTCTTTATTATTTATATTAACGACTTGCCATTATGCATCAATAAATTTGACAATGTTTTTCTCTTTGCGGATGTCACCAGTATTTTGGTCTCTGGAAAAAAATCATTGTGCGCTTAAGCACAAAGTTGGCTGCATCATAGCTCAAGCAGTTAGTCGCTGGCTTCCCACCGTGGCAGCCCGGGTTCAAGCTTGGGTCTGGTCAAGTGGGACTTGTGGTGGACAAAGTGGCGCTGGGGCAGGTTTTCTCCAAGTACTTTTGTTTCCCCTGCCAATCTCCATTCCACCAAATTCTCCATCATCAAATACACCCAGTACAGATACAATAGGCTTATCAGTGGCCGACATGCCAAGTGGACCCAGCTGGACTCCACCCCCCACTATGAGAAGCACAAAATTGCAGATTCCTTGTCTCTCATTGTAAATTGATTTATAGTGAACAAGTTGGTTTTAAATATTACCAAAACTAATGTTTTGTTTGCTCCTAAGCAGTTTGCCAACTCTTTGCTGGCAGTATCCTTTGGAAATGTGGTAATGAATGAAGTCCCTGTAATAAAATTTTTGGGTATACAAATAAATTGAATTAGAAGTCATGTCTTCCTAAACTCATTTGTGCTATTTCTGTAATTAGGAATTTATCTTATTTTATGAATTTAAAAACCCTGCAAATGGTGTATTTTTCTTACTTTCATTCTTTCATTAAGTATGGAGTAGTCCTCTGGGGAAATTCGACTAATAATGCTAGGGTTTTTAAATTACAAAAGAATGTAATAAGGATACTATTGGGAGTGGGACCCAGAGACTCATGTAGAAGTCTTTTTAAAAAATTTGATATTTTACCATTGTCATGTGAATATATTTTTTCTTTGATGTTGTTTGTGATAGCTAATCAAAATAATTTCTGTTCAGGTTCAGAGGTTCATGGCCTGAACACTAGAAGCAAAAATCAAATTTATATTCCAACTTCAAATCTTTCTGTTTTCCAGAAGGGCACTATGTTTATTGGTATTAGGTTATTTAATAGATTGCCAGAAACCATTCAAAGTCTTAGAAAGGATAGAATCAGTTGTAAAAATAATTTATTTTCATATCTCATCAATAACTCATTTTATACAGTTGATGAATTTTTGTAGCATACAGTAAATAATTAGTTATAGTGTTTGTTTAGCTTTATATTGTCTTTCTGTTTTGTTTGTTTGTGACCAGTTTCATGTCCATTATGTTCTGGACTTGTGAAATGTGAAATATATGTATGTATGTATTCATTCTGTAATAGTTGACAGGAGGTATATGAAGTATACAGACGCACAGAATGCTACTACCCACCATCTAATGGATATTACACTAAGCACCCACTATGCAGTTCGTCTCTTTCCACTGTACCACAATTAGATGAAGCCATATTGATGGCTGAATATCTTCAACAAATGATGAGTGTGCTGTTACCACAGTTGCACATGATTCTGATGGATGCTACAATTTTTAGATATTCTATATATAAGATAAACACCGTCTTAAGTGTAACAATTTTATTGTAGTTCTTTCTTCTTTCCCCTCACTCCATACTACATGTTTTGGCCCTAAATGGCCATCGAGCACACGTATTAAAGATAAGCAGCGACACACACAGAGAGAACCTACACAGAACAATACCTGAACAACGATAAACAAGAAGTGGCCGCTGCAGCACTTAGACATAGGGCATGTAACCTGAGAAAAATTTTAATTTTAAAATTTGAAAAAGGAAAAGAACAGAAATTTTATAGATACTTTAACTTGAATTAAATTTTTAAAAAAAGTGCTAAATAGAAACCAACATTAACGCGTGTAGGTTAACAAACAGTTTATACAATTAGAAAGACTGGTGATTTTAAATATTAACAGGCAGTGTAACAGCTACGTAAGAATACACACCTGATGATGGCCATTTAGGGCCGAAACATGTACTGTGGAGTGAGGGGAAAGAAGAAAGAACTACAATAAAATTGTTACACTTAAGACGGTGTTTATCTTATATATATTGTGCAGGTGCAACAGGATGCTCAAATATAATATTGTTTTAGACATTCATTTGTTTGTAGTCAGTTTATTCAAACTAGTTATTTTCACTAAGAAGTTGTTACTATATTATTTCAGAATAACAAGCAGTCAACCACAGAGGCAGAACCAAGTTATCACATCTTCACAGCATCACCTGCACATCCTCACCAGTAGTAACAGTCAAAGCAGTAGTGGGACCAGTGGGTGGGGAGATAACCACACAAGCAGTCTGCTGTGGTCTTAGTAACCTTGGTCTGAGGTTGACTCATCCCACCAAATGATGACATATTCTTGCATTCCTGTATATGGCTACTTCAGGCAATATTGAGAACATGGAACTGTGGCATTTCTAGAGTGGCAGATTTCATATTTTGGTATGAATGCATTCTCCACAACATGGTTGTATTTTCAAAGATTGAATTTATCAGTATGAATGTGTGTTTTAAAAAGTGACTGTATATGTAAAAATGATGGAAATTGTAAATGAAAATTTAGGGATTTGAAGTAAACTGTTTATATCATTTTGACTTCTGATACATAGAAGTATATTCCTTGTTGTGCTTAAACCATTCAGATATTTCTATTATTAACTATTATAATTAAATAACTGGCATACTTGATACATCACAGAGCATTACATATCAAAGAGTTTAATAATATATTATAGCCAGATTAAGTAACAAAACAGAGGTTAAAATGTTATATATGCACTACAGTTACATCAATGGAAAATTAGCTCTGCAAGATGATTCTTTATGAAAACTTTTTCGTCTGGAAAATCTGTTCTTACATTTAGAAGAAAGATATATTTAATTAGGAAATTAAGAACTTTACTGTCACAAAAGAGTGGGGAGTACAATACATATAGATATTCTGTGCTGCAAATGAAGACTGATGTCTCTTTCTTTACACCTTCATTACACTTACATAATGTCTGCACAAAAATATTACGTATATTCCTTTCTTACTGGTATGCCAGCAAATGCTTCATAATGCAATAATGACATTTTTATGAATATAAAACTATGATCACTATAAAAATTTATGGTGCTACATGGATCAGTATGATCTGTTATTTTTATAATAATGAAGATTTACTGTGAAATTTTGTGAAAATATGTTACAGTATAGTGGAACACACATATTCCATATTCACAAACAATACAAGAATGGAATACTATGTGTTTGTTGCTTTTTAAAAATATATTAAATTGCAAGTATAGGAAGAAATCTTGTCCATATAACGTGTTGCCACATGCCTCAGTGTTATAGAATTTTCTTAAGATTCACCAAACAGAGTTGAAAAACTTACATTGTCCATCATTCTTTCATAGTGAAAATGTACATTCAATGTTAAAATACTGTTTCATTTGAAAGAAAGAAAAATGTGCTTCCAACAGTGGATATATCACAACTTTTGACATGTATAGTTACAATCCCCCCCCCACAAAAAAAAAGTGTGGTGGAGCTGTGAAAAAGAGAAATAAATGTAATTTTCATTTTCCAGTTACTGACATTTTCTTTCTTATTGAGTATGGAAAAATTTATAAATGTATTTGTTCCATACAAGGTATTCTTGGAGTTCACATTAATAATTCACTGTTGTATCAAGAGCACACTGAATTGAGAAATTATACTTACCAGTTAATACTGCCTTATAAGAAGGCATAAACTCAATCCATAATATTTCTCAATCTAGTCAGTATTTTCTGAAATATATTTAATAGGACTGTGAAAGTACAGAGTGTATATTTAACGGCTCTGTTCAGTAGAATAAATTGTTGATGAAATAATTAAGACTGTTGCCTTATAATAAACGTAAAATTCATATGTATCTATCCACTGTTGTATTAAGATAATCAAATTGTCAAGAAATAAAAAATATATAGGTTTACTAAATGATTAAACAGTTAATATCAAGGCTTCTGTGTTATTAATTATATGCACTAAACAAAACTTAAATAACTATAAATCATTAAATTTATGCTTCAAAGTTCTATTGTAATAGAGTACTATTTTAAAATAATAAGCCACATCTGATTTTAATGCAATCTGAAGTCACTGATGACTACATTTTCTCTTTGCATACTATGATATATTCTGGAGGTCACAGATGATAATTTATCAGACAACTTCCAAAGAAAATGTGGGGGATGATGAAATGTATTTATTTTCTTTCTCTGCAACTTTTGATTGAAAGATTTCCTCTTCAGTAAATATTTAATGAGATATACAAAGAAATGCATGTAAGTGTTTGTATAAAGTCATCTGATCAAAAGTAAATTTAATATGTTTTCATAATTTTTCCTGCAATTCTGAAATATAAATTCCATGAAAATTTGTCCAATGGTAATAAAGTTGTTTCATGTGAACAGACAGATGAACCAAGTGGACCTGCACTCGCACTCAGCTGGGTTATGGGCATATCTAAAAATGTATCTAAGCCTTCATATAACTTTGTTTGTGCTGTTAAATTTGAATCAAAATTAAATTTGAACATTACATTTAGTAAAAAGGTAAAACTATCCCTGTAACAGGCTGTGAAGGCCCATGAGGTTATGAGATGTAGCTCACAGATGATGGCAAGGCTGTCAGCCTTAAGCACTGGCTGCTTTTTACCCCCCAGGAAGATTCCTGGTACTCATTTATCGTAGAGACTGAGTTGACCCAAAAGCCATAGTGCAGCTGGAAGTATTAGGTCAATTGGGAAAGAAATCCACCTCCTCGGGATTTGAACCGGAGACCTTCTGGCTTGTAGCATGGTGCCTCAATGCACTATGCTAACTTGTGCCCCTATTACATTAGTAAGGCCTCTAATACCAAACAATATAAAAATTTATTATCCACCATAGTATTATATGGAGAGACATGATAAAACTAATAGACACTGAATAATTCATGTGAAATGCATCTAAAAGACAGTGGCAATGTTATAATAATTCCTTAGACATAATTTTGAAAGTGGAAAAAGGTGAGAAGTGGCTAGTTCAAGCCGTATGTCCAAAAAAAATTATCTAGGAAATAGCATTTGAATTTTAGCTGAACACCCAAGTGGGAAATTCTGCTCAGGGATTGAGATTCTGATGCAGCTTTATTCTTTCAAGTACAGATTATGAATTTTTAAAAGACATTTGTTCAGTTATTTATTTTATGTATAAAACATATTTCTGAAAAGTTCTGTTTTCTGAGATATAATGCTGTATAGTCCACTGAAAGTGAACTGGCGTTTTGGAGGCAACATGGTCCTCTGAAATGTCGGTTGACTTACAGTGGTTTACACAGTGTTATATCCCAGAAGATGTAAATCTTTATAACCATTGCTGTCAGAACCTCAAATCCTACAAAGGCATTTCTGTTTTAGAAATATCATGTTTACATGCATTTATTTTCACTCAGTGAAGAAACAATGTTGGCAAATATTTATGTTTAAAATGTCTTCAACACAAGTTAGTTAAAGATCCGTGTTCTACATCTGGAAGTAGGACTGAGCCTCATTAAGCAGAATTGAACATTTTGTTATTGAAGATAAAAACTGAAATAGCTAGAATTGTTATTCTTTATAACAACTTTGAAATGGAATGTTACAGATGCAGACAACCAAAATATATTTAACTATTTCTATGCTGTATATTTCATTACAACGGCATTGTAGATTCTGCTGATTTATGGTAGGACAGGTTTCTATCAACTGGTAACAGCACATACTACAGGTAGTTGTGATCGCTGTGATAGAACAGTTAAGTCCAAGGAAGTTTGTTCCCTTTGTGGCACTAAAATGATTGATTTAAAAACAAAAATCATCATATTTTAAAAGTTTTTTATTCAGGAGGACCTTATTCTGCTTCAAAATGTTACATTGAAATAATATAAATACAAAATTTGTTCTTCCAAACATGACACACATTCTTCTTGACTGCAACTGTTAGCTAGACTGTGTACCTTTTGCTGTTTGAAAATTTCTGTCTTTAGTTTCATGAAATACTCTTTACTAATGTAGATATAAAATAATTACCTAACTAAATTTCATGAGTATATTTTGGAGTAAATGTGTATGAATGTTAACAAATTATCTGCTATTACGAGTGCTGCTGGTTTTCTCTAAGATTGTCATATTTTGTTTTTATAAATGTCTTACAACATGTCAATGTATCTGTTACATAATTATTAATTCTTCACTAACTCAGAATTAATAGGGTTTGGACTTTGTCTATCATCTGGTATTGTAAGAACTAGAAATCACAGTGTTTTGGAAACTGAATTTGTTTCCTTCCTCTGGTGAGGGGGGAGACACCTACTGTTGGGTCCCTTAGAAAAAGCTGACCTCAAAAACTGGACAACCCATGTCAGATTCACTACAGCTATTTAAAAACCTGAGACCATTCTATGTCGAATGGAGATAACAGGAAAATATGCAGTAAACATTGTGATAAAACATGCACATTCATGGAACTAGGACAGAAGGGGAGGTAGAAATTTATGCTACAAACCTAGCCAACAAAGTCCTAAATACAAGTGCATGGAATTAAATGGAGAATTTTTTAAAACATATAGTGCCTACTTCTACCACCATGCGTGGAGTAAGACTTGAGAATTCGAGACTAAAACCTTACAGAAATGTAGAATCTGTCATGTCATACAAATCTACAAACTACGTTGTATTTTCAAGTTTTTGGGACATCAGAGGACGGACAAAGCCCAAAACCCAGTACTTCTGAGCATTATACACCATCGTCCGGACCCCTTTACAATCTTCTTCACTAAACGTTAAATACTCTTTGCAAAAGCAATATGTTAATTTGTGAACTTAATCAATGCAATTTGTCTTGATAATTTATGATAAATGTTATACTGTTAAATGGTCTGAATCTGTTATTTTTATAGCATCATATCCTGCATTTCTGTTTCCCTTTACAGAGCATGTAGCAGACTTCTGAAAATAATCTAAATATTATGGGATTCACTCAGAAACGCATTTCATCTCTGACACTGTGCAGACAGTGATGTGAAACCCTACCTCTTCATATTAGAGCCTTGATTATTCTTAACAGAGTTAAGATAATACAAGATCATACCATTTATCATGGACAGGTCTGCAGATTTAAATACTAGAACTTTATACCAATAAGAATGGGTTTGGGTGTAAACTTACAAATTCTGCATCTTGGTGTCAGTACATTATATCTAGCTCTCTTGAAATTATTAAAATATTCCCTTTTTCATGACATAGCAGCAGGAGGAGAAACCAAGCCTGCTAAACTATTATGATGGGTAAATTTTAAATACAGAAACTTAATTAATATATGTTAGTGTTAAGGGGCCTATGACCTGCTCATCCATATCTCGATATATAGCCAACTTACACACAGTGGAATATTTCAATTGGCACAATATGTCATGAAGACAACTTGTCAACCGTGGTACTGTGGTGCTTCCCCATCCACCATACTCATGTGTTCATTAATCTTATTACTTCTTTCCAAGAATGAAAGATCAGTTGAAGAGCTGTCACTTCAAAGCTGCAATGAAGCCTCAAGTGACTTGAAAACACACCTGACTTCAGTTTTGTCCATCAGAATCTCTGCACTTCTGTCCTAGACCATATCTGCCTTCCTACACGGCAAATGTGGGGTGCCATGGACAATAAAGTGACCGTTCACAAAACGAATAGCAGGGATTTTATATCTGGCAGATGCACTGGAATTTATCTCTTCAACACTTCTCAGAATGGACTGCAGACCCCTCTTAGTCCCCTAAATAAGTAAGACCTGTGTTTCTTTCACCAGGAAGAGGGTAACTGGACAATGAGGCTGGTCACTCATTTCCATGTACTGCAAAGGCCTTACCTACAACCTCCCTGTTCCTTTATTTTGTAGTGCCTAGATACTGAGAACAGTCTACCTTTGGTCATAACATGGCTTATCTTCCTGTGTTCCATTCAAACCAACAAAATATGTTTTGTATAAATTTTTATGCTTGAACTACTACTTCAGTGTAATTCACGGTATTGAACTGGAGATCACGGCTGAATTATGCTTGTGTTCATTTACTGGGAAACCTTATACAAAAACACAGAAACTTTATTAGATCTCACAATAAAGAGGTCAATCTAGAAATCATTACAGAGAAAAAATAAGTATGTTCACATTTCATCACCAGAACATAGGACAACCTAATATTGAGTTTGCTAATAAAAAGCTCTGAAAATATATCAAAGTTCAAATATTTGTGAAAGACAACAATACATCAATATATTTGTGAAGATAAAATTTGAGGACTTCTTGCTACCATTCAGTTACAAATGTTTTATTTTCCTGTCTCCCACCTAATATGCCTAAGACTACAATATATAAACTATAACTTTCTTGTGCTCTCTTATATGGGTGTGAAACTTAAGACTTCCTTCCTACTGAGTGATGGGGGTGCGGGGAATGTCTGAGAATAAAGTGCTGGGGAGAAAATTTAAACTTATAAGAGAAGTAACAAGATAATGGAGAGATTTATATAATAAGGAGCTTAATAATTTGTATTCTTTACCAATTATTATTATTATTATTAAGGTAACAAATCAAGAAGAATGATGGTTATATTGCCTAAGGTGTAGAGGGAGATGGAGGGTACCATCCCACTTCCTTAAAGCAAACTTAGAACCATCCAGAACCTCTTTAAATATTAACAGACAAAAAGGTCATCAATTTATTATACATATAGTAAACTCCTCATTATCTGATGTGTGTGGGGAATACCATGTGTTGGTTACATGAATATGTTGGTTGCATAAGACAAACTCTTACAGAAACCCAGCACGGTTTTGGTTTCATTATTGCATGAACATTTTCCTAGGTGATCATAAATTCAACTAGCTTCTGCTGTAATAGCACCTATGTAAGTGAGGATGGCAAGTTGTACTGATAATGGCAGCTGTGAGAACTACCTCGTGGCTGGTGAACACATACTTCCTTGAAGTATAAAACTGGGTAAATTTTCTTTGAAATTTCTGCTAGTTAAATAAGAATGCTAATGTTTGGATACTGAGTAAGAGTTTACTATATACGTAGTTGGTTGAGGCACTATGCTACAAGCCGGAAGGTTGCGGGACTGAATCCTGATGAGGTCATTTGAGTTTTTTCAACTTGCCTATTCCTTCCAGCCGCACTATGGCCCTGGGGTCGACTCAGCCTCTAACAGAAATGAGTACCAGGAATATTCTCAGAATGTTCTTGGGGGTAAAGGGTGGCAGGCGTGTAAGGTCCACAACCTTACCGCCATCCGTGAGCCACTTGTTTAGAAAATGTGGGATCCTCAACATCTCACAACCCTATGGGCCTCTAAGGCCTATTACAGGGAAACCTTTACTTTTTTACTTTACTTATATATTTATAAAATGTATAACTGGAAAACTACTGTGGTAGTTGAACATGTGTGCACTGCTGCTTAATAGCTGGGTATTCAATTCATTTTTAACCTTGCCACCACTGTCTGAACCTCTTATGATTTTTATCACCATCATGTTCAAGCATTATTGGTCTCTCACAGTGTGGATCTCAGAACTGTATTATATTGTACTGTAATGACTTGGGGGGGGGGGATCTACACGCATCCAAAATGCTCAGACCAGTACTGAGTCTGTCAATTAATCTTCTTTTGGACTAACTGCAGTGGGATACCTCCCACCACCCTCTGTCATTTACTGACAGCCAGCAATGCATCAGTGATCTCAGCTGGACCCACTGCTGAGCTCCAACTGAGTACTCCGTTCCTTGAGGAGAGCCTTCCTCTTACTGGCCTGTTTCTTTTGCTAGCCAGTCTAGTTCTTCTATTGGAAGGTCACATTGCCCACTCCCATTAAGAGACCTCAGACCTCTTTCAGCCTCACCCCGAATGGACCTCTTATCTGGGCCCCTGAGAACTTTTGGCTGTATGGCAGCAGAAGGCCTACCACCTGAACTATCTGGGGCATTCAAATACTTGAAGCATACATACGTACTTGTTAATACGTTGACTGTTTTCAGCATAAACAAAAACATAAACATTTTGCTTATGATTCAGCATGTTTCACAACTTACAAAATAATATGTTATAATTAAGCTGGATAATATAGGTCCACACTTTTTACTTTGTACTTATCACCATCTGGAAGCCACGCCACTTGTAAAATGCTTGAGGACTTCCCAAAACCATCTTCCTACAATTTTACCACCTCAGGCACAGGATGGGTGGATCATGCAGCATATATAGGGGATGTGAGAAATACAAGATCTATTTGAGTTGTAAAACCTGTGAATTTGGAGATCCAGGCATACATGGGGTATAACAGTAAACTGGATTTGAAGGAAACAGTGTGCAAAGGGGAGATCTTTGAAGGAAAATGTCACCAGACTTAACAAAAATTAAGAACCTGAATTAAAGTAACAAGTTTATCTTCATCCAAGCTTCTGTTAATTCCTCATTTTTATTAACATACTTGTTCTTTTTTTTTTTATATAAAATGTGTTTGCCGATATTCTCAAGCTGTTTTAGCCTCAATATAAATATACAATGCAGCATACACTCTTCAACTTCCAACAAGTTTGTAGGTGTGGTCCCGATAACAAAAGGCTATTATTTAGGATTTTGGGTTCCCACGATGGTGATATGAAGAGTTCTATCTTGTGGGATATAACGCCGTGTAGCAAGTTGAAAGTCAGCCGACATTTCGGGAGAACTGGACTCTGCTTGGCACCTGCTTGCACACTGATTTCCTGTCTGGCTTATTCTTCGACCTTGAAGCTGGAGGTGGCATGTTCGTCTGGATTATCGATTGACTTTCAAGGGGCTACATGGCCGTACATGACGTTCTGTCCGAGGAGACAGAACTCTTCAGCGATTATTATTAGTTTATGAAAACAATTTCCGGTATTGCACACCGCTCCGTAAATACAGAAAAAATGTCATATTTTAATACTATATTATGTGATGCTAACATCTTCATACCCCCTACCACGAGATTCCCAACGCTCAATGACCATGTTAACATTTTTTTTTATTGTTAGTGGGGTGGGACTAAGTCCCTTGTACTGCGGCCACTTCTGGCCTATTGGATGGTAGGCGAGGGTGATTGTCGAGCAATTGGTGGAATGAAGATTGGCAGGGACACCGAAGTACTCAGAGAAAACCTGCCCCAGCACCACTTTGTCCACCACAAATCCCACTTGACCAGAACCCGGGATCGAACCCGGGACTCCTCGGTAGGAAGCCAGCGACTAACCTCTTGAGCTATGGCGCGATGTTAAAATTTTCATAGCGTTCACAGCCCATACCACGAGATCAACGTTCAATTACCCACCGGAACCCGACCAGATTTTTCGAAATTTGGAAACTGTTAAAAGACAAATAATGTGGTAAGAAGCACGTTAGTTCCCCAACCCTAGAAAACATAATTAGCTGCTATCGTAAATTGTATGAAAAGAAAAAGGCTACATCTATTCAAACGACGCATAACAAATGGTTCTGTAGAAAGTACCGTATCCATTTTTCACTCGTCTTGTAGCCCATTAACTTAATAAACGTTGTTTAGCTCACTTGCTTTCCATTATTCTTTATATTTCTATGTACATATTTATAACTTATTACAAAGGGTAAAATTAAACCTCACGATTACTACAAGACAAAACACAGATGAATCACAATTTTTCCTATTGGATTTCAACGTCGATATATGTGGTTTCGAGATACACGGTTCACCCGTTGCACGAATTAGCCGTACGTAAAGGTTTACTTGTACAATAATATTAAAGCGATCAAGTCCTTTCGAACGCAACGTCGTAATAATTCATATTCTGTACACAGTGTGTTATACGTAATGTATTCTAGGAGAAAGAAATC